CGTGTGTGGTGTGTGTGGTGTTTGTGTATGTGGTGTGTGTGTGGTGTGTGTGTGTGTGTGTGGTGTGTGTGGTGTTTGTGTGTGTGGTGTTTGTGTATGTGGTGTGTGTGTGGTGTGTGTATGTGTGTGTGGTGTGTGTATGTGTGTGTGGTGTGTGTATGTGATGTATGTGTATGTGGCATTTGTGTATGTGGTATGTGTGCGTGTATGGTGTGTGTGCGTGTGTGGTGTGTGTATTTCTCTGTGTATATATATGTGTGGATGTGCATGAACACATGTGCATGAGCGAGTTTCTTCCTTCTTGCTAGTGCGTTTATGGCATTGTTTAATAAAATTTGGCTACAATTTTTGCATCTTTTTTTTCAACTAACTCACGATATATTGATATTTGTTAATTTCAGGCTTATGAGTTTTGACCGGGAAGGAGAAAAAATGGCAACAATTGATCAGCAACAGCAGCAGCAGCAAGTGCTGAGTAGTATACTTGGTCAGTTTATGCCCATATTCGAACTCATTTTTGACACATTTCTTTTTTTTCGACGACAAACTTTCGAAATATCAAACTTGAAATCCTCTGACATCAAAGGAAGAAATAGGGGAGAATAAATTAGTGTTATGATTAGCAAAATATAGCAGAGTGCTAGGAAATATGTCTATCTCCTGCGAATATTACATAGTTATGTGATGTGTTTTGTTCTCCTTTCAAAGGCTAGGGTATTTTAGAATCGCTGAATTTTGGCGATGGCCAAGGGACATCTGGAGGAGTTGGCGGTACAACAACAAGCACTACAACATCGGCACAATCATCAATGCTGCAACAACCCGGACAGAGTCTTCTGGGGAGTTCGCCGTTTACCAGCAGTGCTCAACAAGCACCCCTGCTGCAATCACCACTTCAGGTAGGGAAGCTTTACGTAATCATAGGCGGATCTAGGACGAAATACTTGGGGGGTGGGGATGGGTACGACCAGGATGATGGAAGTTGAGGGTCAGGGGAGAGGGAACTATACAAAAACTAGGAATAAAGTTGTAACACCTGCTACTTAGAGATACTTTAGTTTTATTTTTGAAGAGACCCGGGCTTCCGCAACACTGGCGCTTGTTCCGAAAGATCCTTTGCTCCCCCACCCC